AAATACCATTCCTGTATTAAAAGTAAGAAGATTAAATTACCGAGTTCGCAACGAGGACAAAGTCAGATATGAAAGCTCTGAAAGTGTCGTAATCACATTTGACGGTCAAATTCTTCCCTCGAGGGTTTATTTATGCTATTCTTCCATTCCTGTTGAAATTTATAAGCTTCCAACGATCCAATGCTTTCAGTGCTGCAGATTTGGTCATACAAAAGATTTGTGTCGTTCCAAGCCAAGATGCTCAAAATGTGGAGGTGATCACTCCTCTTCTTCTTGCGACAAAGATAATGGATCTTTTCGTTGCTTATTTTGCTCAGGTAACCACAAAGCCACAGATTCTAGATGTCCTGAACACACAAGACAAAATAATATTAAAATTGAAATGGCACAAAAGTCTATCTCATACCTAGAAGCATCTCAAAAATATCCACAAGTTTCTTCAAAATCATATGCTGATGTTTTGATTTCTAAATTCCCTGAAAATTCTTCGCTTTCTACTAATCCTACAGTGAATAATTTTCCTTCCAACCCCGCTACATCTAATAAAACTTCTTATAAGAAAACATTATATATTCCTAAACCATTACGTCACCATTCACAAACAGGATACGACAAAAAAAGTCATCAAAAAATTATTGAAGATTTTTCAATTCCGCAACCTGAGGATGGTTGTGCTCTTCGGGTTTCACCAGTTACTTCACAGGGTAATTTTGATTCTGTAGAAAGCATTATAAGTTTTCTTATTAACATAATCATATCTTCGTATTCGTCGAAACTACCGTCCCACGTTGCTCGTTTACTAAATTCTATACCTAAAATTCTCCAAGACATTCACTCTCACAAAGATCCTTCAATGGAATTGTAGAAGCATTTTAGATAAACGTACTGAAATAATCTATTTATTAAAGAAATACAGTGTGTGTATCGCTGCTATTTCAGAGACATGGCTAAAACCGGATTCGAATATCAGAGTACCTGGTTTTTGTCTTATTCGAAGTGACAGATCTGATGGTTATGCCGGATGTGCTTTGCTTATAAAAAATAATATAACTTATTCCATTATAGATGTTTATGATGAAATATTTGACTTTAATATTGTAGCAGTAAGAATTCAAAATATAACTTTCGTTTCTATTTATGTTCCCTCCCCTTCTGTCCATACGTTTCGCAGAATAAAATCTTTAATAGCCTCCTTACCCAAACCATTTATAATTCTTGGTGACTTTAATTGTCATCATTATTTATGGGGTGATAATACTGATAAATACGGTAGTTTATTAGTTGAAATAATTGACGAACTTAATATTTGTGTCCTTAATACTGGTAAAATTACCAAACGCTCTCGTCCTAATGAGTCTAGAAGTGCTGTAGATTTATCAATTTGTACTCCTGATTTAACCACTCTTCTAAATTGGTCAGTTCTAGATAGCTCTCACGGCAGTGACCATTTTCCCATTCTGATTTCCTTTCCAAACAAAGAATTGGCAGAAATTAACAAAAAACCATGTATTAAATACAAATTAGACAGAGCAGACTGGAACCTGTACAATATTTTTCTTTACAATGAAATTCTAAAAATCGCTCCTATTTCTGAAAATAATATAACTTCTATTGTTGAAGCATTTACAAACGCAGTTATAAATGCAGCAGATCAAACAATTCCTGTTAAAACTCTAAATAATAAATGTAGGCCCTCCCCTCCATGGTGGGATTCTGAATGTTCTGAGGCCATTCGTAATAGGAAAAAAGCCGAAAAACAATATAAATTAGACATGAGTTCGGAAAACTATTCATACCTTCAACGTGTACAAGAAGTGACTAAAAATACTCTTCGCACAAAAAAACAAACACGTTGGCATGCCTTTTGTTCCTCAATTTCTCCTTCAATACCTTCATCAGTTGTTTGGCGTAATATTAGAAAATTTCGCTGTTGTTTTTCATCTTGTTCTTACGGTGGTGCCATTCCCTCTCAATCTATAAACACTTTTCTAGATAAACTTGCCCCCCTCTTCTGCTCCTTTGAGAGAGGAGCTACCTCAAAGTATTCCATGTGATTCTTTTTTTGATCCCTTAGAGCGTCCATTTTCTTTATATGAATTAAAGCTCGTCCTTTCTCACGTTCAAGATTCAGCTCCTGGTTTAGACGGTATTCCATATTCACTACTTGCCAAATGTAATGATCAAATTTTATCCTATTATTTAAATATCATTAACGTTTTGTTTGACATAGGCTTTGTTCCTGACTGTTGGCGGACTCAAGTAATTATTCCTATCTTGAAACCTGACAAAAATCCTAACGACGGCTCTTCTTATAGACCGATCGCTCTATCCTCAACTCTAATTAAAACCTTTGAACATATGATCAAGAACCGTCTTGAATGGTATGTAGAAAGTCATGGATTGTTATCAAATTCCCAATATGGATTCAGAAAAGGTAAAAGCGCATATGACAGTCTTTCTATCTTCACCACAGATATTAGACTAGCATTTTCGAGAAATGAATCGGTCCTTGCTGCTTTCCTTGATATTTCTTCTGCTTACGATAATGTCAGACTCAACATCCTTAGAGAAAAGATGTTTAAGCTTAATATATCCAAAAAACTTACAAATTTGATTATCAATTTATTTCTAGATCGATATATACATATTAAAATTGATGATGATCTAAAATATACTCGAAAGGTTTTTAAAGGCCTTCCACAAGGCTCTGTTTTAAGTCCTTTATTATACAATATTTATACGTCAGATTTGGACCAGTCTATTTCAAAGTGTAGAATTTTGCAATATGCTGATGATATCTTAGTTTATGTTAATGATAAATGTATAGAATCTTGTGCTAATGCGATAGAACAAGATCTCCTCTCTATGGCCTCTTGGTTAGATGATCATGGGCTAGAACTTTCCCCAAATAAAAGTAATACAGTAATTTTTTCTCGCAAAAGAGTTTTACCTGAAATCCAAGTTCGCCTTTTTGATTATCCGCTCGTAAATATTCAACAAGTTAAATTCCTTGGTGTAATTCTTGATAATAAATTATCCGGCATGCCTCATATAATTTATACCCAAAAAAAAATGCGAAAAAAATATAAACATTCTTAGAGCTTTGTGCGGGGTATGGTGGGGCGCTCATCCATATTATTTAAAATTAATTTATAATGCAATTATAAGAAGCCGATTAGATTATGCCTCATTTCTTCTTGAACCAGCTAGTAAAAAAGGATTAAAAATATTAGATATCATTCAACACAAGTCTTTAAGATTAATTATAGGCGCTATGAATTCGTCGCCTATCAATGCCTTGCAGATTGAATGCGGTGATCCTCCACTTTTTATTAGACGACAATATTTATCGGATTCCTTTTTTTATCGGGTTCTTCAATTTTCAAACCATCCATTACTACCTAAAATTCGTTTGCTTTCTCAGTACATTTCAATTAATTCAGGAAAATACTGGCGTAATAAAGAAACTCCTAACCTAGTTAAAAGCTATGAACATTATAATTCCTTACTAGATCCTATTTATAGGTCGGCGACTCTGCCTCTTTTCTCCAATTCGTTTGAAGTTGCACTTTTCAAACCCAATGTTATATTAGATATAGGATTAAATAAATTTTCTATTGAATCAAATAAAAGATTTGTATTTACGTTGGACAAGAATTTCCCAGATTGTCATTATATTTTTACAGATGCTTCTAAGACTAACTCAAAAGGTTGTACTGGATATGCAATATACCATCAAAATTGGAGAATAGTTCAAAAAATGAAAAGTCCTCCCGAATCTTCAGTTTTTACTGGAGAAATGTTAGCCATTTTACAATCAATAAAATATTGCTATTTTTTTTAAATTAAAATCAAGCGTGATATTTTCAGATTCTCTTAGTTCTTTACAAGCATTGTTATGTAATCCTTTCTATGACATTTCCCGCAATCCTTTGATATTTGAAATTAAGAAACTTCTATTCTTATACCAATTTCAAAACATCAACATTTCTCTCGTTTGGATTCCGAGTCATATTGGTATATCTGGTAATGAATATGCTGACAAACTTGCTAAACAAGCTATAGTCTGTGGGGATACTTTCTTATTTAAAAATTATTGCTACGACCTTATAAGAACTACGAAATTAGTATATAGAGATAGATGGTCAAAACATTGGAACAAAACCAAAACGACAAAAGGCTGTCACTATGCCAAAATTCAACCCATCATTCCTTCTAAGCCTTGGTTTTATAAATTATCCTTAAATAAGAAACATACATCAATGTTATGTAGAATGCGCTTGGGTCACTGCTGTAATTCGGTTCACCTTGCTAGGCTTCATATTAAAAATTCTTCAATATGTGAATGTGGTTTGGATATTGGTGACCTCAACCATATTTTCTTCTCGTGTCCGTTATATGATCATACTTCATTATTTAACACTTTGGTAAATCTTAAAATTCCTCTTCCTACAGAAATTTGTTCTCTTTTAATTTTTTCTAAAAAAAGTAAAAATGTTTTCAATTGTCTTATGGAATTTTTAGATTTAAATAATATTAGATTATAAAATTTTATTCATTATTTAGCTATCAATCGTCTTTATTTAGTAATACTTATTATTTTTAATGTGGTATTGAGTTTAGTATTATTTTAATTCAACCTAATATCCATCATTTATTTAATATACTTCAGTACAAGTCATTTCATGATTCATTATTATAGTATTCTATGGTTCTTAACATTATGATTTTGGTTTTTAATCAGAATCGTAGTTTCTCTTTAGATTGTCCGTCGTTTCGTTTCAAGTTACAAGTATTTTTATTGACTGGAGGTTGGCAGTAATTGTTAGGTTGCCATATAAAAAAAAAAAAAATACATAGGTACCTATAGGTACCTACATAAAGTGTTTACAAATCAAATTAAATTTTTAATTTTAGTGATTAGTGATATGAGATGAGTGTTCTTATCACTAATGAAGAATTTAGTATAATTGATCACCAGAATTATATCTCAAAAATTTATGACAAAGTAAATACATCAAGCGAGCATAAATCTTTCATTATTAAATCAAGTATCTTTTCAATAACGGATGATAATTCTTGCGTACTAAAAACTCATACTTCTAGGAAACGAAAAAAATTGGATGTTATTCATGATGAGGTACATAGTAATTACTATTTAAAATTAGTATCTTAGAATACTTTCAAAATCTAGTTTCTGTTTCTAGGCGTCTTGTGTACGTGCCAAGCTTGAAAAGGTTTTATTAAAAGTGCCACCTGAAATATATAACCAATTTCGATATAACTACAACTTACTAAGTACAACCGCAGTTAGAAATATAGCAAAGGATTTATTTGAAACTACTGCGTTTTCACACAATGGTATATTAGGAGGCAATGATTCTAATTTTCCTTTGAAATGTAAAGTTAATGATGACTACTTTCTCTTACCTCGTAAATCACGGTGGGTGAACATTTTTTCTAATTTATTTAATATATATATATATATATATATATATATATATATATTAATATTATTTGAGCCGTGGTAGCTCAGATAGTTAGCTCTCTCTGTAAATTTCACAGTATGCGAGCAAACCGGGTACAATCCCCGCCGGCACCAATGAAATTGTTAATTGCAATTTTAAGTGCTGATTTACCACATGCTCGGCGGTGAAGGAAAACATCGTGAGAAAACTTACATGTCAGAGAAATAAGAAAAAAAATATTTCGAAGACATGTGAAGTTCGCCAACATGCATTGGGGCAGCGTGGCGGACAATTCCTTGCCCTAAAACCCTCTCAGAAATGAGCGGAGGAGGCCTGTGCCCAGCTGTGGGATGTATATAGGCTGTAACTTTACTTTTATATATATTAATAATATTAATATATATATTATAATCTTAATAATTTTATTATTTTATACATACCTTTTTTATAAGTGGTAGAGCCATGTTGCAACTATATAATGGTTGTAGAACGAATAGGTAAGCTCGACTGGGGAAGGACCATGCTCTCACAGAATACCAGCATAAAATAGCAGTTTAATATAGTGCATGATGAGTGTAGAGATCCTGAGACCCTTTATTACTGGAAATGAGGCATTCCATCTTAGTCCTCAGGGGTGACAACGCATCTCCATTTTCATTCTTAATCGAGGATAAATGTAGATGTCTATGGTTCACAGCATCCAGTTTCCATCAGGTACTGTGTGCTTGTTTGTCACACTTATTGTATAAAATAAAAAAATACCGAGTTTTACACTTGTAATAATCTAATACTAAAAACGCAGAGTTCAAAAAGTAGCGAGTAATTTGGATAACTATTAGCTAAAATATGGGTTTGGATGGAAGATGACGGCTAGCCCATTGCCTACACAATTACAAACATAATATCTCTTTAGTCATCTATAACCACATGTTAAGCATGAAACAGTTGGCAGATTATTTTTTGCTATAGGACCCCACATAAACATGAGATCCAGACTGACATGGGACAATTATAATTGTTTCTTACACATGTAACAAGCTTACTTAAATTTAAAACTTACAATATAGTAACTCTTCACTTATGGTTACATTTTTTTAGTTAAAAATTGAATTCTCTTTACATCTGTTTTAGCCACTGTTTTGGCTTTTATATGACTTACATATGCTTATTCTAACAACTTAAGTCCTGTGTAGTGGCAGTGTAAGAATATCAACCATAAAACCATATCCAACACACACATATAATAGTGGGTGACTATCTTTACCGTCTGGAAAATAATATGGTGTTTTGTGTAAGTGGAATAGAAGCTATCCTCGAAAGTATTTGTAAAATATAACAAAATATAACTGAATAGGAAAAATTTCCGAATATCCAAAAATATATGTGGTAGAGCCGTGCTGCAGTTATATTAGTAGTTTAGTTGTAGCACAAATGGGTTGGCTCGACCAGGGAAGGATCACACTCTCACAGAATATTAGCATAAAATTACTATTTTAGCTTAAGCCTATTTTAGTTTAAGCTACTGCTTAATGCTGCTGTGTTTCGTATGGTGAGTGTAGAGAACCTGAGACCCTTTTTACTGGAAACGAGACATTCCATCTTAGTCCTCTCAGGTGACAACGCATCTGATGTCAATGTCTATGGGCCTCAGTAAACACTTACCATCAGGTGGACTGTGTGCTCGTTTGTCACCTTATAAATATAAAAAATACATTAAAAAAAACCATCACACATAATCCTGTGGACACAGCTTAAGAACATACAGTTAGTTATTGTGTTTTTTGTTGTTGGAAAAGCCAACATAAACAATAAATTGCTATCAGAATGGGAAGTAATAAAGAAACAAAGAACTGATTTTATTTTGTTTAAGCAAATTCCTGTGTATGTGGAAACTGGTGAAACTTTAATTCCTTATGTTTAAATGAGTACGACCCATGGGTTTTTACCGCACATGTAGTGTGAACCATTTTAATTTACTTGTGTGACAAGTCAACCCTAATGTACAGCTCGCTTGCGCTCTGCCTGCTTCTTGCCCCTGCACGGCAATGCAAGATTGCCCCATCTAACCTTCTGATGACCGACTGTTAACCTGCACCTGCACCCCCCAGACTCCTCCGGGGAGGGTCCATATTAATATCAGGCATAGTGTGGACGTCCAGTCAACATGGCCCACACAGTACCAGGACTCCCGGCCTCAAACCATCCTCCGATCCCGACCTCTGAGTAGCCGGATTACAGGAGATGCCACGCTCCCAGTCTATGACCGACTGTTGGTAGTAGTTATACTGTGCCGTGAGTGTCGTAAGAGGTGACAAAGTGAAACTGAAACAAGAAATGGGCAGCAGCGTCTTCCTGATAGCAACTGAAAGTAATAAAAAAACTGCAGGTGCAGCTTGCACTTTGTATAACAGTGAGCTTTAATAGGCTATAATAAAAATAAATAGACACACGATAAACTTAAAAATGAGGATATCCGCAGTAGAACCAGAGTGTCCGACATAGCCCAACGGATTAGTAAGCTGAAGTGGCAATGGGCCGGTCATAAAGCTCAAAGAACCGATAATTGTTGGGGAAAAAAAGTTCTCGAGTGGCAGCCTCGTACCGATAGGCGAAGTGTAGGGCGACCCCCCACTAGTTGGAGTGACGACCTGGTAAGACATGCAGGAAGTCGATGGATGCAGGTGGCTCAGGACCGTGCTTTGTGGCATACCTTGGGGGAGGCCTATGTTCAGCAGTGGACTTGTGAAGGGCTGTGATGATGATGATGATGAAATAGACACACATGACTATGATTTTGTGTATATCAATGCTAGAGCTTATACAACTTGTATGTGCCAATCAACCAATCACCATTGACCTAACTGTGAATAATGTTATCTTTACAAATATCTATCACAAATAAGTATCGTAAATGAGCTGTGGTTAGGGTTCGCTGTAAATTTCATAGTATGCAATCAAACTCACTTAATAGTGTTTATAGCATTGTTAATATTCTTTAAAAAAAAATAAAAAAAAATATAAATATAAAAAACTGGGTATTGAATCCCGCTGGCACCAATAAAGTTGTTAATTGCAAGTTGAAGTACTTATTTACCATGTGCTCAGTGGTGAAAGAAAACATAGTGAGGAAACGTACATATCTGAGAAATAAGACGAAAGAAAAATTATTTCGAAGATATATGAAGTTTGCCAAAACGCATTGAGGCAGCTCGGCGGACCCTTCCTTGCACTATAACCTTCTCAGAAATGAGAAGAGGCTTGTGCTCAGCAGTGGGATGTATATAGGCTTTAACTTTACCTTTTACCTAAAATTTATTTTATTTTAAATCCGTTCTAATTTTGTGTGCTTACTTCTAATCAAAGGTTTTTTTGTGGGGATGTGATAGAGCAGTGTAAAAAACTGGATGGGAAAAAGTTTGACATTGTGATAGCTGATCCTCCATGGTGGAATAAATATATAAGAAGACTGAAAGCTGCAAATACAAAGCTAAGGTATTCAAATAAGTTATTGTTTCAAGATTCTGAAAGAAAGCGTGACACTAACTAAATTGCCTTGCGGTTAGAGTAGTTGGCCTAGCTATGTTTTTAACTGTTCTGGGTTTCAATTTGCCGAAGTCAATGTAATTGTATATAAACACACAAATTGTTTGTTTTTGAGATTTTGAGTCTTGATGTATTGTAACATTCACTTGTTCTCCGAAATTACATTCCAAACTAGCTCCACTCGTCTGATTAAGTTGGTATGCTAGTAAGTGACACTATGAAATCTCCTCTGCTATTGATAAAATGCTCAGGAGAAAAAAGACTATCATCATTGTCATCATGTCTGACATTATAAAGTGTTTAGGACACTAAATGCTTGCCTTGTAACACCACAGAATTCATAATTGCATATGTAATGCTTATTTACCACATTTTCACTGGTAAAACTATGTAACGGAAATTCATACAGGGTTATAGTTCAAAGAGTATCCAAGTTTTTGAAAGTACGGAGCTTCTATTTTTATATGAAATTATCTCAAATTGATTGTTATTTATGAGCAACTTGTACGGGTACGGGCGTTCGTCTATGTGCAATTTAATTCATAATGTGTGTGCTGACCAAGCGACCCTTATGAATGTGTGTGTGCGTAGTAAAATAGTAGGCGTTAGATATTTATGATTGACAATCAATTAAAATAATGCATTACCACGCATTCTGAATTCAAAAGATAAAAAGGACAAAATGTTTGAGGTTTTTTTTTAATTAATTTTTTTACCATCCGCCTGTATTACTAATTCTAACGTTCTCTGCAAATTTGGGCGTATATTGCAGAATAACCCTGTATGGTTGAGAATAAATATATTTCAACAGTTTATCTGTTCCCCCGTAGCTGCAATGGAACATTATGCAGCTCCGCCTAGTTTTATACACACACAAAATGTCAAAATCTTGTTTGTTAAGTGGATACCATTGTAATGCAAAAAAAATATTTTATAAAGATTCTCCATTTTTAAATTATATACTCTACATTACAGTTATTCTATGATGTACAATGAGGAAATTGCATTAATACCTGTAAAAAATCTCTTTGCGGATAACTGCCTTGTTGCAGTTTGGTGTACAAATTCACCAAGCAATGTGACTGCTGTGAAAGACTTAATATTTCCTAATTGGGGAGTTGAGTACGTAACTACTTGGTACTGGTTAAAAGTAACAACAGGTTTTAAACCAGTTTGTGATTTTGGATCAGGGAGCAAGAAGCAACCTTATGAGAGGATAATATTTGGAAAAGTTGGCGAAGTTGGACGTATTCCAAAAGAACATTTGATCATAAGTGTACCAAGCGCGTTACATTCACATAAGCCACCATTGTTAGGTTAGTGTTTTTACCAGATTTCACTTTATTTGTTTTATTGCTTGATTTTTTTTAGTATATTACTATATAGTATTGTCATATTTTTTATTGTTATATACAACATGTAACATAATTAACGCACATCCTGGAAGTAATTTGTTCAGAATTGTTTACTGAATCAATTCCTATCATATTTAATATAGGTAATTTTTTATCCCAAAAATAATTAAAACTGCGTAAATTACAGTCACACTAAATCTGTACAGTCAAAACAAACTGAAATGGACCGTAACTTAAGGCAATAAGAGACTTTTAAGAGTGCAGTTTTATTTGTATTATTACTAATTCTGTCATTCAATAAAAATAAAGAAAAATGATTTTTATTTCAAGCTTGTTAAAGTCTGCGTTCGTGGATTTGTACTGTGACCACCCAACATTCTTCCGGAATTAGTATAACTAATTTGATAAATAATCAGTGCATAAAAATGTTTAACTAAAAATTCAGTGTATGTATTATGATTATAACATAATACACTAATTGGGGTGTCTGAGAGTGTGCGTTAAATACGTTACATATTGTATAATATTATTATTGGAATAATATATTATTTTATAATATTATCCTATTTTTTAATAAGTGAGAGAGATAAATATGCACACATTTCACCTGACGGTAAGTCGATGGTTTGGCCCTTTTGAGCAAAAACACAAATTGATAGTTTTCAGTTGCGTTGTAGTCGACTTGATGTCTCTGATACCTTCTCTCTATCCACCTTCAAGTTTTTTACTTAAGCATTCTATTGAGCCTAAAAAAGTTACGACAAGGGAGTGCGTCTATAAGTGTAGTTGAGAGTTGATGAAGTTGATTTATGTCAGTATTTGGAAGTAGTTCCCATGTGCAATATAAGAAAAGAGGTCATACGTGGTAGAGCCATGCTGCAGTTATTTTAGTAGTATAGTTGTAGCATGAATGGATCGGATCGACCGGAGAAGGACCACGATCTTACAGCATACCAGCATAAAATAGTAGCTTAATGCTGCTGTGTTTCGTATGGTTAGTGTAGGGAACCGGAGATCCTTTTTACTGGAAATGTGGAATTCCATCTTGGTCCTCACGGGAGGCACTGCATCTGCCTTTTGATTCGTAATCGAGGATAGATGAAGATTTCCAAGGGCTGCGGTAACCACTTTCTATCAGGTGGACTATGTGCTCGTTTGTTACCCTATTCTATAAAAAAGGTCATTATTCTCATGACGACTTACAGCCTCCCGAACAAGCCGGTTTCCGAAAAGGCTTTAGTACCATAGACCACATACATACCCTTCGGCAGATTGTACAGAAGACCGAAGAGTACAATCTGCCACTTTGCCTGGCGTATGTGGACTATGAGAAAGCCTTTGATTCCGACAAAATTTGGGCGGTGCTACAGTCTCTTTAGCGGTGCCAAGTTGACTGTCGGTATATCGAAGTGCTGAAGTGTTTGTACAGTAGGGCTACGATGGCTATCCGAGTACAGAACCAGAGTACGAAACCTATCCAACTGCAGAGAGGTTTAAGACCAGGTGACGTTATATCTCCGAAACTTCACCGCTGCGTTAGAAGACGTTTTTAAGCTACTGGACTGGAAAGGATACGTTATTAACATCAATGGCGAGTACATCACTCACCTTCGATTTGCCCACGATATAGTCCTTATGGCAGAATCGCTGGAGGACTTAAGCACTATGCTCAATGACCTCAATAGTGCCCCCCAACGGATAGATCTTAAGATGAACATGGACAAAACAAAGATCATGTTTAATGTCCATGTCATACCTATGCCCGTAGTGGTTGGGAGCACTAAGCTCGAAGTTGTTGACGAGTACGTTTACTTGGGACAAATAGTCGACTAGGTAAGTCCAACTTCGACCGAGAGGTCAATCGACGGATTCAACTCGGCTGGGCAGCGTTCGGGAAATTACGACACATCTTCTCGTCAGGTATACCTCAAAACGTGAAAACTAAATTGTACAACCAGTGCGTGTTGCCAGTGATGACCTATGGAACCGAGACGTGGTTTGAGGACGCTCAAAGTCGCTCAGCGAGCTATGGAGAGAGCTATGCTCGGGTTTTCTCTGCGTGATAAACTTAGAAATGAGGATATCCGCAGTAGAACCAGAGTGACCGACATAGCCCAACGGATTAGTAAGCTGAAGTGGCAATGGGCCGGCCATGTAGTTCGAAGAACCGACAACCGTTGGGGAAAAAGGTTTGGAGTGGCAGCCTCGTACCGGTAGGCGAAGTGTAGGGCGACCCCCCACTAGATGGAGTGACGACCTTGTAAGACATGCAGGAAGTCGATGGATGCAGGTGGCTTAGGGCCGTGCTTTGTGGCACACCTTGGGTGAGGCCTATGTTCAGCAGTGGACGTGAAGGGCTGTAATGATGATAATGATGATGATTCTCATGACTGGACGCTATGTGCAATTTGCTGATTTCTATAAATCGAACCAGTTCAATTTTACTATTTTTAATAAATTTTCACGTCATCTTGTTTACATTTAATTTGTTATAATTTACTTAACATATTGCCTTGCAGATATTTTAAAACCTTATGTGATAGCGGAACATCCTCAAGTATTGGAGCTGTTTGCAAGATATTTATTACCAAATACAACTAGTGTGGGTTTCGAACCTTTAAAGTGGCAACATATCTCACTTTATGAAAGTATTGAAGAGATATCATGTTGACTTTGTTGACTCTTAAACTAGGAAAAAAAGCAATATTGTGAGAAACTTTGAGTAAATGTCTAATTTTTTAATAAGCAGTTTATTTTGTTTTTCGTATCTAGTACTACATATTTTCCTGATGGTGTTATAATAAACGTCAGAAAAATCCATTAGGCTTCAACCAAAGCATCATTTGTTTGTGCCAAAAAGTATTATTTAAAGAATCATGCCCACTCTCCATACATTGACCTGTCACTTGATTCCTTCGAAAAAATGCACCTCCTTTCATCGAATAGTATAGGACTATGACACCACTAACGAAAGTGGAATTTTGATATAGGTAAATTCATGTCTTTATCTTGAATTTGATTGTTCAAAAACACGATTGTATAATTTTGACTCGATCATAATTGTTTGCGAAAACACCTCTAAAAATACTATAGTTGAAATTACAACGAAATTAATTAACCTATATGCTTTGGAATCACTCAAATATATTCATAACATCAATATTCATAATTTACTTGTTCATTATTTTGATTACTCAAATCAATAATTTTTAAAAAAATTATTTTAAGATTCTGACAATTTCTAACCGCTTTTAATCGTCGCGGGCGCTACGCAATTTTAGACCTTATGACGGCGTTTTTTTCAAGTTTTTTTAGAAATTATGTTTTCACTCGGATCAGTACGGCGATAGCCTTTTTGATGTGTCGTCTTAACAGGTCGCTCTAGCTACAATTATTGTTGTATAAAAACAATTATTGTTTATAATAGCATAATAACTTATCATCTTTTCATTTAGAGGACAGGGAAAAATGATATTTAGTAAAATAAGTTTTTGAGGATAAAACAGCTTTTAGATTAGGTCTATACACTTATTTTTCTTTCCAAACCATAGTATAAAACCATAAAAAATCGTATCTAATCATATATCACATAAATTAATAAGTTATAAAAAAAAACAATTGGTTATTTTTGAACATTCATTAACCACATGACGAATAAACAAGTTTTCCGTAGTCTGAAACGGAACGTGTAAAACACGTTTATTTATATATTTTGGCATGGCTTCTGGACCTTTGAGCCACTAAAACACGTTTCGTCTCCAAATTCTATTGAGAATGAGAAACATAGTTACATTACTTTTTTCCTGGCTTTATTTGAAAATTCAATTATGCGATACGAAATAACCAAAAAATGTGCAATTTTATAAGATATTTTATATCACTAGATGCGTTAGAAAATTTTGAAGTCAAGACTGGACATGAGACACACCAATTTAATTTGTCATATGTGGGGATTTTGTCAATAGCGTTGTTCTGAAAATGTAAGAGGCGACAGAGGGAAACAAAACAGGAGATTGGGCAACAGCATCGTTCTGATAACAACTCAAAATATAATACGGCGGTTGCCTACCCTACCCTAAAGCCTCATTTACATTGAGGCCACTGCCACTGCTCCTCGCGCTGCCGGCAATACTTCGCTAAATACTGCCGTAGCAGGATCGCGGCAAGTGTGTATTTACACTCTGCCCTACCACTCATATCACTTTCGGCTTTCGCCTATGGCAGACGTCGAAATAATTACAGCGTCCGCGCTGTGTCTTCTTGCAATACAAAATTATGTTAATAATTTAAAAAGATATCAAGTTCAAAAGAAGATAGATAGAAAATTTATTTGCTTAAAAACATGATATGAAATACAGCTAATTACACAAACCCAATGTTACATTTTAAAATTATTGCATTGCTTAAGAGTTAGGTACAAAAATATTATATGAGATTAGTTAAGCTATTATTATTTTAATAATTACACTACAGTATAAATTAATTCATCATTTTAATTAAAATAAAATTATAATTTAAAAATCTCATGCTATTATGCAAATATTACCATTTAACTTATTTTACATTTTAATAAATAAATAATCAATATGAGTTACTAATCGTTTTTGGAAATAAAATGTCAATGTTCATTAATTACTTAAACTAAATTTTAGACACAGCGCCGACGCTGTAATTGTTTCGACGTCTGCCATAGTCGAAAGCCAAAAGTGACGTGAGTGGTAGGGCAGAATGTAAATACACACTTCCCGCGATCCTGCTACGGCAATATTTAGCGAAGTATTGCCGGCAGCGCAAGGAACAGTGGGAGGGGCTGAATGTAAATGAGGCTTAAGGCTACAGTCTTTTAAAGTTGACTCACATCGAATCATTAGCGCCACTTTGATTTCTTTTTTTACAGCAAATTATTGTTTCAGAGTAAAATATTTTGATAACACATAAATACCCAGATTATAAGTAATGGCTAAATTTTTTTTTTGGTTCATCTATGTGGTCTATGTTAGATAAATCAAACGGTAAATAGAGCTCTCTCGCACCCAACGCAATTTCGAGCTTTGTTCGTGTACCATTATAAGGCAATCGATAATAAAAAGGCGAAATCTATTCAGCGCGTTAATAGCTAAACATCTTCATCTCCAAAATGTGCTGTTTCTTTTTTTCTAAATATCTTTCATTGTCTTAAATAAGAGGTCTCAATTTCGTTAAATTTCGCTGTTTTCGCCTCATAAAAAACTATTTGTTTCATAGCAATAGCTGAAAATATTTATGCTATAATTATTTTTTTCTCAAGCTCTGCAATTTAATTCATAATGTGTGTGCTGACCAAGCGACCCTTACGAATGTGTGTGTGCGTAGTAAAATAGTAGGCGTTAGATATTTATGATTGACAATCAATTAAAATAATGCATTACCACGCATTCTGAATTCAAAAGATAAAAAGGACAAAATGTTTGAGGTTTTTTTTAATTAATTTTTTTACCATCCGCCTGTATTACTAATTCTAACGTTCTCTGCAAATTTGGGCGTATATTGCAGAATAACCCTGTATGGTTGAGAATAAATATATTTCAACAGTTTATCTGTTCCCCGTAGCTGCAATGGAACATTATGCAGCTCCGCCTAGTTTTATACACACACAAAATGTCAAAATCTTGTTTGTTAAGTGGATACCATTGTAATGCAAAAAAAATATTTTATAAAGATTCTCTATTTTTAAATTATATACTCTACATTACAGTTATTCTATGATGTACAATGAGGAAATTGCATTAATACCTGTAAAAAATCTCTTTGCGGATAACTGCCTTGTTGCAGTTTGGTGTACAAATTCACCAAGCAATGTGACTGCTGTGAAAGACTTAATATTTCCTAATTGGGGAGTTGAGTACGTAACTACTTGGTACTGGTTAAAAGTAACAACAGGTTTTAAACCAGTTTGTGATTTTGGATCAGGGAGCAAGAAGCAACCTTATGAGAGGATAATATTTGGAAAAGTTGGCGAAGTTGGACGTATTCCAAAAGAACATTTGATCATAAGTGTACCAAGCGCGTTACATTCACATAAGCCACCATTGTTAGGTTAGTGTTTTTACCAGATTTCACTTTATTTGTTTTATTGCTTGATTTTTTTTAGTATATTACTATATAGTATTGTCATATTTTTTATTGTTATATACAACATGTAACATAATTAACGCACATCCTGGAAGTAATTTGTTCAGAATTGTTTACTGAATCAATTCCTATCATATTTAATATAGGTAATTTTTTATCCCAAAAATAATTAAAACTGCGTAAATTACAGTCACACTAAATCTGTACAGTCAAAACAAACTGAAATGGACCGTAACTTAAGGCAATAAGAGACTTTTAAGAGTGCAGTTTTATTTGTATTATTACTAATTCTGTCATTCAATAAAAATAAAGAAAAATGATTTTTATTTCAAGCTTGTTAAAGTCTGCGTTCGTGGATTTGTACTGTGACCACCCAACATTCTTCCGGAATTAGTATAACTAATTTGATAAATAATCAGTGCATAAAAATGTTTAACTAAAAATTCAGTGTATGTATTATGATTATAACATAATACACTAATTGGGGTGTCTGAGAGTGTGCGTTAAATACGTTACATATTGTATAATATTATTATTGGAATAATATATTATTTTATAATATTATCCTATTTTTTAATAAGTGAGAGAGATAAATATGCACACATTTCACCTGACGGTAAGTCGATGGTTTGGCCCTTTTGAGCAAAAACACAAATTGATAGTTTTCAGTTGCGTTGTAGTCGACTTGATGTCTCTGATACCTTCTCTCTATCCACCTTCAAGTTTTTTACTTAAGCATTCTATTGAGCCTAAAAAAGTTACGACAAGGGAGTGCGTCTATAAGTGTAGTTGAGAGTTGATGAAGTTGATTTATGTCAGTATTTGGAAGTAGTTCCCATGTGCAATATAAGAAAAGAGGTCATACGTGGTAGAGCCATGCTGCAGTTATTTTAGTAGTATAGTTGTAGCATGAATGGATCGGATCGACCGGAGAAGGACCACGATCTTACAGCATACCAGCATAAAATAGTAGCTTAATGCTGCTGTGTTTCGTATGGTTAGTGTAGGGAACCGGAGATCCTTTTTACTGGAAATGTGGAATTCCATCTTGGTCCTCACGGGAGGCACTGCATCTGCCTTTTGATTCGTAATCGAGGATAGATGAAGATTTCCAAGGGCTGCGGTAACCACTTTCTATCAGGTGGACTATGTGCTCGTTTGTTACCCTATTCTATAAAAAAAGGTCATTATTCTCATGACGACTTACAGCCTCCCGAACAAGCCGGTTTCCGAAAAGGCTTTAGTACCATAGACCACATACATACCCTTCGGCAGATTGTACAGAAGACCGAAGAGTACAATCTGCCACTTTGCCTGGCGTATGTGGACTATGAGAAAGCCTTTGATTCCGACGAAATTTGGGCGGTGCTACAGTCTCTTCAGCGGTGCCAAGTTGACTGTCGGTATATCGAAGTGCTGAAGTGTTTGTACAGTAGGGCTACGATGGCTATCCGAGTACACAACCAGAGTACGAAACCTATCCAACTGCAGAGAGGTTTAAGACCAGGTGACGTTATATCTCCGAAACTTCATCGCTGCCTTAGAAGACGTTTTTAAGCTACTGGACTGGAAAGGATACGTTATTAACAGTACATCACTCACCTTCGATTTGCCCACGATATAGTCCTTATGGCAGAATCGCTAGAGGACTTAAGCACTATGCTCAATGACCTCAATAGTGCCTCCCAACGGATAGATCTTAAGATGAACATGGACAAAACAAAGATCATGTTTAATGTCCATGTCATACCTATGCCCGTAGTGGTTGGGAGCACTAAGCTCGAAGTTGTTGACGAGTACGTTTACTTGGGACAAATAGTCGACTAGGTAAGTCCAACTTCGACCGAGAGGTCAATCGACGGATTCAACTCGGCTGGGCAGCGTTCGGGAAATTACGACACATCTTCTCGTCAGGTATACCTCAAAACGTGAAAACTAAATTGTACAACCAGTGCGTGTTGCCAGTGATGACCTATGGAACCGAGACGTGGTTTGAGGACGCTCAAAGTCGCTCAGCGAGCTATGGAGAGAGCTATGCTCGGGTTTTCTCTGCGTGATAAACTTAGAAATGAGGATATCCGCAGTAGAACCAGAGTGACCGACATAGCCCAACGGATTAGTAAGCTGAAGTGGCAATGGGCCGGCCATGTAGTTCGAAGAACCGACAACCGTTGGGGAAAAAGGTTTGGAGTGGCAGCCTCGTACCGGTAGGCGAAGTGTAGGGCGACCCCCCACTAGATGGAGTGACGACCTTGTAAGACATGCAGGAAGTCGATGGATGCAGGTGGCTTAGGGCCGTGCTTTGTGGCATACCTTGGGGGAGGCCTATGTTCAGCAGTGGACGTGAAGGGCTGTAATGATGATAATGATGATGATTCTCATGACTGGACGCTATGTGCAATTTGCTGATTTCTATAAATCGAACCAGTTCAATTTTACTATTTTTAATAAATTTTAACAGTCATCTTGTTTACATTTAATTTGTTATAATTTACTTAACATATTGCCTTGCAGATATTTTAAAACCTTATGTGATAGCGGAACATCCTCAAGTATTGGAGCTGTTTGCAAGATATTTATTACCAAATACAACTAGTGTGGGTTTCGAACCTTTAAAGTGGCAACATATCTCACTTTATGAAAGTATTGAAGAGATATCATGTTGACTTTGTTGACTCTTAAACTAGGAAAAAAAGTAATATTGTGAGAAACTTTGAGTAAATGTCTAATTTTTTAATAAGCAGTTTATTTTGTTTTTCGTATCTAGTACTACATATTTTCCTGATGGTGTTATAATAAACGACAGAAAAATCCATTAGGCTTCAACCAAAGCATCATTTGTTTGTGCCAAAAAGTATTATTTAAAGAATCATGCCCACTCTCCATACATTGACCTGTCACTTGATTCCTTCGAAAAAATGCACCTCCTTTCATCGAATAGTATAGGACTATGACACCACTAACGAAAGTGGAATTTTGATATAGGTAAATTCATGTCTTTATCTTGAATTTGATTGTTCAAAAACACGATTGTATAATTTTGACTCGATCATAATTGTTTGCGAAAACACCTCTAAAAATCACTATAGTTGAAATTACAACGAAATTAATTAACCTATATGCTTTGGAATCACTCAAATATATTCATAACATCAATATTCATAATTTACTTGTTCATTATTTTGATTACTCAAATCAATAATTTTTAAAAAAATTATTTTAAGATTCTGACAATTTCTAAGCGCTTTTAATCGTCGCGGACGCTACGCAATTTTAGACCTTATGACGGCGTTTTTTCAAGTTTTTTTAGAAATTATGTATTCACTCGGATCAGTACGGCGATAGCCTTTTTGATGTATCATCTTAACAGGTCGCTCTAGCTACAACTATTGTTGTATAAAAACAATTATTGTTTATAATAGCATAATAACTTATCATCTTTTCATTTAGAGGACAGGGAAAAATGATATTTAGTAAAATAAGTTTTTGAGGATAAAACAGCTTTTAGATTAGGTCTATACACTTATTTTTCTTTCCAAACCATAGTATAAAACCATAAAAATCGTATCTAATCATATATCACATAAATTAATAAGTTATAAAAAAAACAATTGGTTATTTTTGAACATTCATTAACCACATGACGAATAAACAAGTTTTCCGTAGTCTGAAACGGAACGTGTAAAACACGTTTATTTATATATTTTGGCATAGCTCCTGGACCTTTGAGCCACTAAAACACGTTTCGTCTCCAAATTCTATTGAGAATGAGAAACATAGTTACATTACTTTTTTCCTGGCTTTATTTGAAAATTCAATTATGCGATACGAAATAACCAAAAAATGTGCAATTTTATAAGATATTTTATATCACTAGACGCGTTAGAAAATTTTGAAGTTAAGACTGGACATGAGACACACCAATTTAATTTGTCATATGTGGGGATTTTGTCAATAGCGTTGTTCTGAAAATGTAAGAGGCGACAGAGGGAAACAAAACAGGAGATTGGGCAACAGCATCGTTCTGATAACAACTCAAAATATAATACGGCGGTTGCCTACCCTACCCTAAAGCCTCATTTACATTGAGGCCACTGCCACTGCTCCTCGCGCTGCCGGCAATACTTCGCTAAATACTGCCGTAGCAGGATCGCGGCAAGTGTGTATTTACACTCTGCCCTACCACTCATATCACTTTCGGCTTTCGCCTATGGCAGACGTCGAAATAATTACAGCGTCCGCGCTGTGTCTTCTTGCAATACAAAATTATGTTAATAATTTAAAAAGATATCAAGTTCAAAAGAAGATAGATAGAAAATTTATTTGCTTAAAAACATGATATGAAATACAGCTAATTACACAAACCCAATGTTACATTTTAAAATTATTGCATTGCTTAAGAGTTAGGTACAAAAATATTATATGAGATTAGTTAAGCTATTATTATTTTAATAATTACACTACAGTATAAATTAATTCATCATTTTAATTAAAATAAAATTATAATTTAAAAATCTCATGCTATTATGCAAATATTACCATTTAACTTATTTTACATTTTAATAAATAAATAATCAATATGAGTTACTAATCGTTTTTGGAAATAAAATGTCAATGTTCATTAATTACTTAAACTAAATTTTAGACACAGCGCCGACGCTGTAATTGTTTCGACGTCTGCCATAGTCGAAAGCCAAAAGTGACGTGAGTGGTAGGGCAGAATGTAAATACACACTTCCCGCGATCCTGCTACGGCAGTATTTAGCGAAGTATTGCCGGCAGCGCAAGGAACAGTGGGAGGGGCTGAATGTAAATGAGGCTTAAGGCTACAGTCTTTTAAAGTTGACTCACATCGAATCATTAGCGCCACTTTGATTTCTTTTTTTTACAGCAAATTATTGTTTCAGAGTAAAATATTTTGATAACACATAAATACCCAGATTATAAGTAATGGCTAAATTTTTTTTTTGGTTCATCTATGTGGTCTATGTTAGATAAATCAAACGGTAAATAGAGCTCTCTCGCACCCAACGCAATTTCGAGCTTTGTTCGTGTACCATTATAAGGCAATCGATAATAAAAAGGCGAAATCTATTCAGCGCGTTAATAGCTAAACATCTTCATCTCCAAAATGCGCTGTTTCTTTTTTCTAAATATCTTTCATTGTCTTAAATAAGAGGTCTCAATTTCGTTAAATTTCGCTGTTTTCGCCTCATAAAAAACTATTTGTTTCATAGCAATAGCTGAAAATATTTATGCTATAATTATTTTTTTCTCAAGGGCAGGTGTTTAATTAGACAAATATTAAAAAATAATAATTTAAACCACTTTATTTCAAAATTAATAATTATTTCGATCGACCTATAAAATATTGACTTTATAAACAATAATTGCGGGCAATATTCCTTAGTATTAGTAGCCGCTGAGCGGCTGTAGCGTTCAGACGTCTTGTCTGTGCCAAATTTTTGCACTTCCTCTCGCTCTAACATTCCTCTTTCTCTCTCTTTCCCTAATCTTGGTTGCGCATTGTTACGAATTGAAAGTTGCTCTACTTTATTATTTTTTGCATATAATTCTTTAAGGGTTTATAAATCATTTTGTATTTGTTTTATAACTTTTAATTTCGATATGGACCATAAACGTAAAAAATATGCTTGTACCAGAAAACGAAAATTGAAATCAAACGTTGAAGCAATGAACAGAAATAGAATTCAAAGGTAAGTTTTTTTGTGTTTCATAGTAAAATAGTTAACAACGTTCATATGTGTGAGCACTTGGTTAAATATTAGGTATATAATTAGGTAGGTACTTTTAAGAATAGTTTATAAATGAGTTGCATATTTGTAATGCATATAGGTAAATGCTATACAAAGTTACATTATACTTTAATGAGAAACTATAAGTACAAACAGTCCACTATCACACATATTTATATATGTGTGATAGTGGACTGTTTGTACTTATATAGAAATTATTTTGAGTTTTTTTTTAATCTATTTTAGTATTTAGAACTACTTGACGTACTTGACGGATTTTCGATAGTGTCATCGACTTATTACGAAACCCTCAGTGCACGACTCATTCTAGCACTTGCCAGATTCATTTGAATAATCAATAATACGAGTACATGTTATACAGGTTCTAGATGATTATCTTTTAGAAACCTTTTCAACAAAACAACAAAAATTATACAAACTTAAAATATTTTTTTTTTTGTGTAACGAATTTTGTAATAAAAGCATGGAACAAAAATAGATACGAGGTACAAAATCTGTATGTGAAAATTTGTTAGCTAATTATCAATAATCCTGTATATTAGATAAATTGATACTGGAAAATCTTAGTAGAGCAACTTTCCACGCTACGGCCAGAAAGATAACTGCGGTGGCGGTACATGAAGTGGCGGGGCAGGGAGGGTGTAGATGTGTCACCAGAACGCAATTTTTCTGTTTTGCTCTGAAAGTAATGGGCTCTTAAATGGGGCATAAAATATAAGAAGGCAATCTATGAAGAATGCTTAACATTGGATTTATATATAAATCTGTAATTAATTAATGAATAATTAAAACATGATTAATCAATAATAAATATAATACTTTATTACTTAAAACATTTTAACTGTTTCCATTAGTAATCACAACTTTAGTCTTCATGTTCTTTTTAGGATATCCATCGGGATTCATGGTCTGCCAACGCCAGAAATCAGTACCTGGAATTGATTAGAACATATTATGTTCAGAATAGAATTATTTATTCATCTGCCAAACTATTGATAGTTGAATATTATTAAGATATAAGTAGTACTATTTAATATCAAAAATTTACTAAATACTTCACCCACGATATTAATTGAAATCATAAGATAAATAATATATTACGAAACGTTACTCACACATCTCTTCGAGAGTGTATTTTGTGGTCCAGTCGAGCTCTTCTTTTGCCAGAGTGGCGTCAGCCCACATCGCCGTGATGTCGCCCAAACGTCGTGAAACGTACTTGAGCGGTATCTTGGTGTTTGTAACCCGCTCGAATACATCCACTATCTGTTTTACTGAAACACCTCGGCCAGTCCCCAGATTGTATACCTGCGATTGTAACACAAGAAACTCATTCTCATAATCTTATTTCTTATTTTCTTTTAAAATAAACGTTAGGATTTTCTTCCTACACTATATTTTCTCTTGTCCATGGAAGCCGTTTACATTAATATATTGTGGACATATAAACAGACAGAGGAGGTCATACAAATACTTGTTCCGTGCAGGATTTGAGCGGCCCTCAGTGCTGCAAACAACGCTAAGCTACTGCGACACGGAGCCTTCAAACGAGTGACAAATATCTAGCTTTATAGTTAATCTCAGATCTCGGAGAAAATAAAGAAAATTAGATTCCTTTATTTTTTGAAAATAAACATTATAAAGTTAGAAAAAGGATTAGTATAAATATATTGTTAAAAAACTATCACTATAAAATACATCTAAGATTTCTAGATATGGCGACTACTATCTATCTGTTCAGTTGCCTGTACGTTGTATTATCTGTTGAAAACTGCGGTTTCATTTTCCGTCTAACATCCCAAATATTAAAAATGTGATTGGATAGGTTTTGTGTTCTTCGACAGTTCTTGTCCGCATGAACGGTTTCCACGAGCTTGTCATCTATAATG